TGTAATTATGATGTGGGAATGTACGTCTCATATTGTTTTACGTTCTTCAAAAAGAAAACAGCATACTGTGCAATTTGTCTTTTGTAAAATCGATGCATAAAATTCAACAAAAATATCTGGGGGGAAAATGAACATGCGATAGGGGCTAACAGGGTTGTGCATACAGTCGATGGTAGTGACGATTCAGCAGTCACCAGGTGTAAATTGAACTGCAGAAATTCTGAGTTTTAAATAATTTTGCCAGAATGTTACATTTGAGTTATATCTGCAGAGTGTTATACTAATAATGGCGGATATCCAGCAGAATGTACAGAAATATGTTTTGACCTCATCATGGAATTGGAAAGCTGCATTATCACTTGAATCATTAACTGAAGAAAACTTTTAGCTACCAAAAATTTATACATTGTGAAGATTAGTGAAACACTTTATATTCTGAGGTCTGTTACATCGACAATGATGACCGTAAACTTAAAAGGAGTGTCCACAAAGGAAACAAGACACTTGTCACCAATCGGTTTATTGTGATGGTTGGTCACTAGACAATATTCCAGGCTCTGGTAACCCTCTAATAGATTTATTATCCTGTCATATAATACTTTAGCTAACTACACTAATCAACTAGTTGCTTCAGTTGCCCACGTAGAAGTTGAACTTGGTCCACCCATTTTACGTCGCCAGTGTTTATAGCACCCATCGTTACCTGAAGTCTCAGAGTATTGTTGACTTTTAATGTGGTCCAGATTAACTTGGAAGTTGGAATTTTTGAGTCCCAGTTGGGATTTTCAACTGTAAAATCATCAGATTCAGCCCAATTGAATCTGTTGGGCATTTTGTTTGGACTTCAGACAACAATTCTGATTGCTTCACTGCCAGACAATGTAAAATTTTAATATGAACTTTTAATCTATACTGCCACTGCTATTTGTGATTTGCTAAAAAAAACAACCCACGCAAAGCACTGACCAGGATCCACCCATGAAGGTGCTGCAGCGGTGGCAAAGAAGCCTCGTGCTGCATCGATAGTGATGCATGAATGTGTTGACCTTTCTAAAACGCAAAACAAATCCTGTTTTCTGACTTTACTATTGGAACGCACTAACGCAGTTACTAGGGTTTCTATAGTGTCTAGTAGCTAAATGCTATGCTAGCAATCAAATTTTTGCTGCACTTTTTTTTTGGCCCAATAATTATAATATAATTATTTTATAATTATATTATTTCATGCCTATGGAAAAATGTAAAAATATGTAATTTCCTTTGGTAAAATTATCTTTAGTTTATTGTGATTTCATTTCGGTTTTGGAAAGTAGCCCTGGGTCATCCTTGAATATAGGCTAACTTTTTTCTCTTTCTAATCTACTTTTACGATACAGTGTAGGTTCACACTAGATGTGTGGTATGTATAGTGCCATCATGATACTAATATTTCATGTTTTAAATATCAAATCGGTATATCACAACAGCCCAGAAAGGTTTGCTGAACACAGCAACTGGAAGCAGGTTAGAACATGAATTTCTTAGACTTGAACAGTTAATCTGCACGAGATTAAAGCTAAATGCTAAGTTGACAGATGCTAATGGAGGATGACCAGGTTGATTCTTTGTGGGTTGGACACCTTTGTTCTATCTATAGTAATATTTTCTATTTTTAGTAAAAAAAAAAAAAAAAAAATTTGTGCTTTAAAATGGATTAAAGAATTAAACACAGAAAGTGTTTGCTATTATGGTGTTTTAATGAGTAATGGCCAGAGGAGCGCGTGATACCGTGGAATGCTTTGCTGTGTCACTATTAGTGTAATCTTGTGTGTGTGTGTGTGTGTGTGTGTGTGTGTGTGTGTGTGTGTGTGTGT